AGCGTGGGGGGGGGGAGCGAAGTGGGAGGGGGCAGCGAAGTGGAAGGCTTAGCGAAGTGGGGAGTGATGATGATTAGGTGAGGGGTGTAGCTCGCAAAATAAGGTGGTTTGAGGTGATTTTTTGGGCTATTTGTGTGGGGAGGGGGTATTTTTTGACAGAATATGCACCCCTAGATACCAGCACTAGATATATAACAGCAATACCAACATTGAATAATCAACCAATTAACTTTTTACAGGAAAATTACAGGACGGTTGTGACAGATATCGAGCGACTGGGCTGTGCCCTACAAGCGAATATCGGCAGCCCTAATCTACAGCTTTACGGCAAACTGGGACTCCATGGGTGGGGACATATTCTGTTATCCTTAATCACAGACCCACAGGCCCAATACGATATACCCCCGGGTGTTATGATTGACACTAAGACTGCCTGTAGAGATCCAGTTTTCTATAGGTGGCACAAGTTTATCGATGATCTGTTTGTGCACCACAAGGAAACGCTGCCACCATACAAAAAGCAAGATTTGGCGTGGGACGGTGTTGAGGTAAGTTCAGCCTAAAGTTTAACATTGGACAGAAGACAATTGAAATTGGACAGAAACAGAAAACTGTATAATTAGTTGTCACATGAGTGAATTAATTAGTTGTAAGTCTTAAGTAAACAGAGCTAGTGTATCGTCTGCCTTCTATATTGTAAAGTGAGGAATAATAATAATAATAATAATAATAATAATAATAATAATAATAATAATTATTATTATTATTATTATTATTATTATTATTATTTTTAGTATTATTATTATTGTTATTGTTATTATTATTTTAGTCTTTAGTCTTGATATTTGCAGCTGACTCAGCTAAACTGGGATGATTTGGTGGCGACGCTACCATTTTCAGCCGGCGCGAGATAAATTAAAATAAATAAATAAATTTAGAGGATGATCCATACGGAAAGGGTAGTGGCTCTTTTGAAACAAATAGGTGGTGCAATATGAACTAAGCCATAGTGTATGCGATAGAACATTATTAATATTATTATCATCATCATCATCATCATGTTGTTTTTCAGTTCTTCTAGTAGGCCTATTTAAGGTCTAAAATCTCAGGATTTCTTTGTTGCACATCTTTTTGTAACAGACTAATTTAACTTGAAATGGCCTACATCTCTTTATGAGTTGTTTAATCGTAAGACAAAATGCCGATTTAGGAAAATTTGAACAATGAACCTTGACATTGGACGGCAAACTACTCCACCAACCTCACTTATATTAGCTTGATTATTAAATTGTTTATTTAAATCTTTAACACCTAGATCGTTGACGTCACTGTAAATACGATAGATGAGCAGTCAAACTCTCAGCCAATTAGGAACCAGCTAATGACCTACCAAAAAACGACGGAGATTGATGTATCCAACGATGTATTCATTAATCCAGAAAAATTTAACAATCCGGTGAAGGTGAAAATTCTATTTAGCATATGAAAATTTAATGGAATTGAATTATCATTACGTCAGTTTATATTATAAAAAACAAAACGTTATATAGACTTATATATATTGACTTTTCCTAGTGTTAGATACTTTCAGAGAGCGCCACCAGCGTCTGTTTATATCGAGAAACTTTTTATATAGTATGGGACGTCATTGGTGCAAAGAAGTAATATGGAACGCCATTGTTACCAGAATTGATTGATTTTTAATAGTTTTCATTTAGGGACTGGAATCCAGTCTAAAAACGTTATTACAACATTCGCAAATGTTGTGAATATGTATAGGGTATGGCAGAAAATAACATTAACTCGCATCACAGCAATGAATTTCTACAGAAATTTCAATGGTTCCACAACACCAAAATACGTTATTATAACATAAAATTGTTAGACGGGAATTAGCATTAGGATTGTCTTTGCTTACAAGGCGGTGTTTGTGGGGTTTTCATAATATTTGATGTAGTCTGTCAATACTGTATTGTGAATTTATGTAAAATTTTTTCGAATAAATGCTAATTCTTACAATAATTAAATATTATTGAAGGTGGAAGTGAACTCTACAGATCATATGCCATTCTACTACAAAATCCAAGTCGTTAAGAAAACAAAAGTACCCATCAAAGCGACCGCTAGAGTGTTTTTGGCACCGACACAAGATCAAGCTGGAAACAGGATTGACATCAACAAACAACGAAGGCTAGCTATTGAAATGGATAAGTTTGTAGTATCCCGTAAGTTTACATTTGTTAAATAATAATTTAAGATATATTAATAATTAAATAATAAACAAATTTTTAAAATCAATTATACACTCTTGTTAATAAAGTTCAGATCTCTCAATACAAGATATTATAAATATCAACAAATATCCATTCTATATAAATATAAAACATTGGCATATTCCAAATAATTTTGACTCTGTCATCATGTACGAAAGCTTACGAACAGGGGTGTAACTTTTTTTTACGTTTGGAAAATGGTAATTTCTCTAGTTACAATACTCAAGACTATAAATTGTTCTGTAATAATTATTATTATTCTTACATTGTATTTTCAATTTTCGTGGTTTGAAAAAAAAAAACTGATCATTTATATTCACTGCAATATATTTATTTTATTTTAAAAATTTATTTATTGTGTAATTTTTCTTCTAGTGAATGATCAATCTGAGACTATCCTTCGTTATTCAAATGAGTCCACGGTGCTGGTTCCACAAGAGAAAACAGTAGCAGATCAACACAATGACATCACATCAGGAGAAGGTACGACCTGTCCAGAGAAGAGTCGCTGCAACTGTGGTTGGCCGTCCAACTTACTTCTGCCACGTGGGAAAAGGGATGGGATGAAGTTTGATCTCTTTGTCATGCTTACCAACTGGGAAGATGACATTGCTGAGGTTGGTTCCAACTTAAACAAGGGATCTACATTCTGCGGGCTGCAGGATCGCCACTACCCCGATGTAAAGCCAATGGGTTTTCCTTTTGACAGAATCATTGGTACGGATAATAATCGTGGAAGATCAATGACAATGAGTGACTTCGTACAACAATTTGGTGAAACTAGTAACATGTACACAGCGAAGATAAAAGTAAGATACGCAGAACCATGTTGGACAGAAAAACAAGAGAGCAAACAGTGTTGGCAGGTGTAAATGTATCTTGAGAGGCATTACATCAAATATGCTAAATACTGTACTGCAATATTTCAGGTTGCGTTAATATTCAACAGTTCAATATAAAATAATATTGCTGCAGGCTTGAATGAATGCGAATGTGCACAATAGGACACAAAACTAGATGCAAATGATTTTCAAACCAAATTTTGTCAGATTTCTTTATTTGTAATGCAAAATCCAACATTTTAAGAAATGTTCACCAAGTAAAGAACGACAGTCTATTTCTCTAGTACTGTAGCATATTATCCTCAAATTTGCATATTCATGTCTCTAGTAGCATATTATCCTCGAATTTGCATATTCATGTGTATATACTGTATGGGCTTGCCATGCCAAAACCAGCATCGGTGACAAAAACATGAAAATTAACTTCTTAACATGTTCCAATTCCCCACATTATACAATAAGCTTTAAAATGATGGGTTATTTACTAGCATCGATTTACTATTGCCAAAGTTGATGAAAATTAGATAAGATAAGCTTTATTGGTCTATTCACATATAAAAATACATAAACAGAAATGTTTCTTGAATCTGGCATCAAATTACAAAAAGCAAAGAAATTTTAACGCAACGCAAGTATTATGGCTTCTTTGCCACATTCTTATGCTAATTAGTTAGTTTAACAATTAGGATAAGTATGCTGGTTTTGGGACGCCAAGCTTCCTATAATGTCACCCATATATGGAAATATCACAGGTAAAATGTTTACTTTGAACATGGGATAAATTATTATTATTATTTATGAAAATAAATGGACGATCTAAGAATGCATTATTGAGTTTTAAAATTATCATTGCATGAACGCATATCTCTGACCGTTGAAAACTGTCTACAGAATAACTTATATTTATAAAAAGCACCACAAAAAATCTTCAAAACTTCTTGAAAATATAAAGTATTTACACATAATTAAAAAGTGTGTTAAATGTTACATATTCAACTACTTTAATATGTGAATATGAGTTACATAACCTTATTTCAAATTTATATAGCAACAATTAATATAAATTGTTATTACAATATAATAGTTCAGAAATTCTTGATTATTATCTCTAACATGGTTGAAAATATTCATCTGGTTTCAGGTTAGTTCAAGTTACTTGGTTTGATAAAATAGAAAATACTTCACATTCTTGATTATTATTAATATAAAACATAATTTTCCCTTATTTAAAATATCACTGTTTTATGATATATCACAAATATAAAAATTCTACATTATTGCATGTTGTGTGCTGGAAGGAATACCATCATACATAGCATATTATATTTGCAGCATCTGGGGCTGGTTTAAGCACTTACATTTTACAAAATTGAATTATATGAGCTACATGCTTCACAACACCATTTACATATAACTTTCAGATGCACATAACATCACATGTTGTTATTGCTCAGTCAAGAAGTTAAGGTGGTTTGACGCAGAGCCTTTACATCAGCGCTAGTTTGAGACCTCTAGATATGGTTCAGGCACTGATCTCTAGTATATTAGCTGGATTGCTCATCGGCCAATCACTGTACAGAAAAAAGTGAAGCCACTGATGCTATATATACATGAGCCAAAGTGACGTTCCAGTCTAGAAAAGTTGTTGTTTACATTTGTTTAAATTATTGTTACAAATATTGATTCTTGCAATACTTTTTAATAATATAAAATTTAACAAAATGTTTTTTTCACATTATTATTCAAATCAACATGCCTATTTGTGCAGCATACAAAAGTGCAAGCTATGTCACATTCTTGGTGATCGTCACACTGGTTCTAAAGTTATGCGTTGTGATGATGCATTTATGACGTTTCGGGCTTCCCAACATGACGTCAATAGCTTCACTAAATCCTGCCAATGAGCAATCCAGCTATTAGAGGTCAGCGGGTTTGGGTAGTTGTAAAAATCTTTTCAGATAAGGAGTATAACCTTATGTACACAAACTATATTGAGTGCACTGTAAAGAACCCATGACATCCTTCTGAAAGAGAAAATTACCTGTGCTAAAAATAAAAAACATAATACCTTAGCCCAACAATGGTGGAACTGAGGTAGTCGGGAACCTCCATCTTTAAAAGTGCCTTTCTCAACCCCCTCTATTTCAAATTCCTGGATCCACCACTGCAACTCTTATAAATACTTGAAATAAATACGTACTATATAAAAACTTATATATATAAAATCCAAAAATAATAATAAATATTATACAGGCACTTGAATGTAGAAGGTGTCAACTTGATGTTGCTGATTTAACTGTTGCTGTGGTACCTGCTGTTGGTGCACTTGATGTTGCTGATGTTGTTGCTGTTGATGTTGTTGATGCTGATGTTGTTGAACTTGCTGTTGCTGATTCGGTTGCATGCTGCTAACTGTCTGCGTAACCATCCCTTGAAAATGCGATTGCGTCTGATCACAGATAGTTGGCGGGCAATGCTGGGTTCCGAGAAGGTTAGAAAGTACACTGGAACCAGGTTGCATATTGCTCGTACTGGTGAGAAGCGTGTAATTCTGCTGACAAGGATGAGACGTAATTTGCATAGGTAAAGTGGACACGGTAATTTCGTTTAATTGGTGGGCTTGAGACATGTTCACAGTAGTATCATAACTACTCAAACACACGTCTGTTGACGTTTTACTAACTTTGCTTGCATTCTTGGCTCTAGTTTGTTTTCCATGTCTAGTTTTATTATTCTTCGTTTCTTTGGTATCTGTTGGCTTTTTCTTCAGGTTGTGTGTTTCCCGATCATACTTGCCCCTCTTTGATGGTCCTTTCTCGGGCCAATGACCCTCTTTTAGTTGTTTGTAAATTGAAGCGCATGTTGCTTTGGATATTCCTGTATACATTGAAGCCCGCTGACTTATATCTTTTATTGATTGTATCTATATAAATTTTAACAAAATATTCAAATAAAAATCAACAATCACAGAGGACATCATCAATTGAAAAGAATCTTTGAAATTTCCAAATGTAATCTATTCTATATAAATTAGCTTTCATGCATAAACGAAGTCTCAAAGCGCTGCAACTGAAAATTCTCTGTCACCTAAGATTTTAATCGACTAAATGGAGTGTGAGGAAGAACTATGCTAGTGGTAGATCTGCACTGACTAGACCTAAGATAAACTTAATATTCTATGTAGCATTGTAAGCAAGAGCAATGCTATGGAGAGGTTTATATGTAAAAATACGTATTTTAAAAGTGGTACTTTGCCTAACAGGCAGCCAATAAAGAATTTTTTTAAATATTGGTGTATGCGCTGATATCATGAAACTTTTTTTAGTAGCTGAGTTTAACTTAAGTTGTTCAGTTTATTGGTTATAAAGCCCACCATTGCAATAGTCTATTTTAGTGGTGAAGAGAGCATGGACAAGCTTGTGATGGTTTTAAACTCCATTTTGTTGTTTTTTTGTAATGTCACACTTTAAAGCTGAAAATAAATACAAATACACATTTGAATTGCAGCATACTTTGTATTTATGCTGTTACTGTACAGTACTTAGAATTGAACATTAATATTTACCTCTTTCCATTTCTTTTCATTGTGACAGCACAATAACACCCTGGCTGTAATATCCATCTCCCCTTGAGTTAAATCTTGCTTAGTCCCCCGCCTTTCTCTTTCTGGAAACTGTTAAGAAATTGACATTCAATTCTGATCATGAACTCAACACTAGAGGGGGCTATAATTTCTGAAAACAACTGCTTACAAAAGTGACATACCACTTATGCACCCTTGTGCAGTGATCTGCAAAGCTCTGACCCCAGGGGCCCCTGCCAATTCAGTCCTTGAAGTAGCACCCTAACCCAAAAAGGCTTTGTTGAAACAAAAAGGGGAAATATAAGAGAATAACCCATACAGTAACTTGCATCGTCATTGTGCTGAATTGCGTATGGGCGTGGTCCATGACTACCTAGCAGCCGTAAAGAGGCATTTCATGGAAGCTAAATGGATGAGGAGCGGCTGGAACCAGCACCGATGTTAAGGCCGTTGCTAGCGGCGCCCCTGCCTTACCGTTGGACCACTTGACTCGCCAAATGTGTCTCTGACAATGACTAGGACATAATATTATCATATCATATAATGGTATATTTGTCAAATTATTTTTTTTATGGAGATATAAAAAAGAAAATACATTCATATTTTAATTCTCTGAGTGTTAATTAATTACATGTGGTGGTGAAATTTTCACTTGACAAAAAGTATGTTCTGCTTTTTCTACCCTCTGATGGTGTTTTGCATGTTATTCAATTATTTTTTTAAAGATGTTATTTTATTTGATTTTGCTCAAAGAAAAAACAAAACCAGCAAGATAATGAAGTTGGATGATAAAATATATATTTTTTATTTATATATCATTACCAATCGAGGAGGGTATAGGAACAAATAAAAATAATAATAATGTTGACATAGGAAAGTAAGGCGAGACTTGTTTTTATTCCTTGTTTTGCATACCTTTTTTTTAAAGATAATTGGAGAGGGTGGAATAAAAATAAATATAAAATTTTGTTTTCTTATTTAGCAAATAGTTTTGCCAAAAACATCCAGATAAGAATACTGAATACTGTTATTGTATAATTGTTTTGTATAACTTTTAGTCTCTTTTAGTTTAGTTGTTTTTTCTTTCTCATTGAACGCACCGAAATGTTGTGTGCCACTGAAACAAAAGTGTATGTTCAGTTGAATAAATAAATAAATAAAGAAAATAAAAATAAAATTTTATTGGTGAATGTAAAATAGGATGGCTAAATGCTTCAAATTCAATTAATTAGAAAAAAATATACATCTTATTTTTGGAGATTAGGAGGCAGTGGAGGGCGTAATAAAAATAAATAAAAACCTTTATTTTTTTCTGAAATTTCCACTTTTTCGTGGCGGCGGGTGCGCTAATTGGCCAAAAATAAAATTTTATTTTTATTTGTAATTATCAGTTGATGATGATCAGTTGAGGGGCGCTAATTTGCAAATTATGCTGATTTTAGGTGATTTTTAACTACTTGACCATGATTTGATCTATTTCGACGAGCTATATAGGTTATACCCTGTCTCTTATACACATCTGGCGTGAGTAATTATTTTGGGGTGGCGTGCGCCCCACGCCCTCCCCTACATACGCCACTGACTATTGCATATTTTTATTAAAAACTAAAACAAGTTGATGATGCACATAGATTTTGCAATATAATAAAATAACTTTGGAATGCGGAACATTGTAACTTACATGTAGTTCGTCAATGCTTTTTAAAGATGATGTCCCAGCCTCTTTTGCAGTTGACTTGTTTGGACAACGAAAGCTAACATGACCACTTGTATGGCAGATTTTGCATTTTTTCTTGTGGAATTTCTTGTTGTGACCAAATGCACCACAGACTGAGCAGGTATTCTGTCGCACTGATTTTCTATTTTGGAAAATAAATCAAACCATCATTAATTTGATGCTAGGCCTAGTACTTGTACATCTCCCTGCTTGTACTCACCTAGGCCTAGCAATTATGGATTGAAATATCTAAAGCCAATAGCAGCAATTAACCAAATGCATAAGCCTACCTAGGCCCCTACCTTAGTTAGGGTAGCGGTATAGTTGCCATGTGCAAGGGCCTGCTGCTTTGCCTCAGGCTCAGCTTGGTTAGGCTCTGCGAGGCCCGCCAAGATTAGCTAGCCTAGGCTAGGACAAATATGGCTTACAAAGCCAGCCTGGACCTAGGCCTATGTACAAAAAACTAAATAATTAACCATACCCTTCTGATGCCACACATTCCGTTGATAATATTTCAGTCGTGTCTACTTCTGGATTTTGAAATGCAGGCGTATTGAGGGAGTCAGTTTTGCTTATTTCGCCCTCATCCATTTTCCTGTCAACGTTTAAAACGGGAACAGGTCAAAACGGCAAAAGCCAAAACGGCAATAAGTCATAGCGGCAATGACCAAAACGGCAAAAAACCAAAACGGCAACACTTTTAGACCAGGGGTCGGATTTATCAAACTAGAAATCGGCTTAAAAATTCTTCTTAAGACCATTTCTTTGCTTTGTCTTATAATTATCAATGAGAACTCGTCCAGTAAATTACACATGCCATAACAAGGTACCGTATTTGCGCGAATAAACGCCCCGTTTGAATAAGCGCCCCTCAATAATATCAAGATTTTCTTTTTAGCACGAATAATCCAATCAATATTGGGCCTGTGGTTGTTTGCATGATTTGAGCTGCATAGTGGAAACAAACACATTCTTCTTAGGTCAATATCAAAATGAGGATATTTCTCATCCCAGATGATAGCTCCGATCCTTGGACAGACAGCGCCGAGGCCTATATTTCCAACTTTACTCTTTTTATACATATTTGTCTATACCTAGTCCTACTCCTCTTGTTCTTTTTCCGACCTTTAGCACATTCTCATCTGAGTTTTCAAGAAAAAATACAATTAATGATCCTGCCATCCTGCTAATCTTAATCGGGCCGATGCCCAACAAGCTAACCACTACCCACCACCACAATTGCATCTGCTATTTTGCTGTTATGTAAATTCACGCATTCTTGTCATGAGCCATGTTCTCTGGACGATTATCTTTTCCGCCTAACCACCATTCGTAATGTCCTTATATAATCTTTTTTTTTATTCAAAAAGTGCCTCTTGAATTTAATAATTTCCCATAAGAACCCCTCGATTTTCATTTATTCCATAAGCGCCCCCTCAATTTCCAATCTGTTTTCATAAGCGCCTCATTTAAATAAGCGCCCGTTTGAACAAGCGCCTCTCAAAAAGTGCAAAAAATATTTCAAGCGCCCGGGCGCTTATTCGCGCGAGTACGATACGGTACTGTATTGTGGGGTGTACGTTTATTGTATGCACGTAATGTGTATACATTTTTTTGTGTGGGGAGGGTGAGGGATGTTTATGATTTATTTAAACTCTAAATTGTATTTTCTTTAGTTAAGTTCTTTCATTTGTTTAGCTTTAAGTTGTTGTTTTCCTCTTTGTTCATTAGATTAAGTTTGACTGCGCCACTTTCTTGTGTGCTGCCACTGTTGTAAAATAATAATTATTTTTATTATTATTATTGTATGATGTATTCTGTTTTTGGTTTGCTGCCAACGAAGTCAACACAGATATGATACAAACCAAAGTTGTCAGTTATTTAATATGCCTTTTCCACGAATCGGTAGACATCTTGAAGTAATGACAAACATTGTCCCCGTTAAAATTATGTCAGAAAATCAGCCCAAAAGCTTATCTTATTTCTGTTGGTTACGCACCGCTGATTCGCAAAGTTTTTTCATCACTTCAAGATGTCTACCGATTCGTGGAAAAGGCCTACCTGAAACCAGTGTCAGTATAATCTTAGGTAAGCATGTGGTTAACATAAGCAACAATTTAGTCCAATGAAACTGTTCATCATCTTCACCCTACCGGCGTCACCACGGCGTCCCGCCGATCGATCAAACGCTACGTTGTTATGTGGGTGTTTTATAGATTATTGAGAATATGGAAATATCACCGAAAAAATAGATAAAATGACAGTTGAATGACCAACAAAGACAACTGAAGACAATACTTCGTCATTAGAAGTTATTTAGTATAACTTTATTCGAAAAATTAATCTCAAAATCGAGTTGCCGTCCCCGGAGTTTTCAGTGACGTCGTATGATTTGTGTGCGATTTTTACCAATTAACCCTTAAGTAAAAAATAGTTGAGCCATGTAGTACCTTGCAAATCAACCCAGAGACCCAGTAGTTTGTTGATTGTTTATTGGTAGCGTCCCTTCGCTGCCAAAACTAGTTTTTTGGCAGTTGCGTCCCCGGTGACATCGTGAGGGCATGGTGAAGGCTGGTTACGATTTGGTGGCATATCGATTGAGTATTTTCATTCATCTGGTTATGTAAATCAGTGACGTATCTAGATGTCTTAGAATGGGAGGCTGATGCCAGGGGGGGGGGCGCGAAGGTGAGGTGGGAGGGGATCGATAATCAGTTTGAGGAGCGCTAATTCGCAAAGTAAGGTGATTTTATGTGATTTTTAACTATTTGACCGTGATTTGGAACCAGTGTCAGTATAATCTTAGGTAAGCATATGGTTAACATAAGCAAGAATTTAGTCCAATGAAACTGTTTATCATCTTGATACCTTCCGACGAAAATTGACCCTACCAGCGTCACCACGGCGTCCCCACCGATCGATCTAACGTGACGTTGTTATGTGGGTGTTTTATAGATTATTGAGAATGGTAATATCACCGAAAAAATAAATAAAATGACAGTTGAATGACCAACAAAGACAACTGAAGACAATACTTCGTCATTAGAAGTTATTTAGTAGGCCTATAACTTTATTTGCTGAAAATTAATCTCAAAATCGAGTTGCCGTCCCCGGAGTTGTCAGAGACGTCGTATCATTTGTGTGCGATTTTTACCAATTAGGCCTAATCCCTAAGTCAAAAATAGTTGAGCCATGTAGTACATTGCAAATTAACCCAGAATCCCGGTAGTGTGTTGATAGTTTATTGGTAGCGTCCCTTCGCTGCCAAAAATA